CGGCTGAAGCGGCGTCCTGAGGTCTGGTGGGCGCTGGCGGCCCTGGCTCCGAAAGGGCACCGCCATCAACGGGGGAAAAGGTTAAAGAGCAGGAAACTCGCCCGTCGTTGCTCCGCATCCGAGCAAGTTCACGTTTCGTTTGTGCTTCGCGCGTTTTAGGAGTGCTCTAAAACTGAACCGGCGGCCTGTCGGCTGCGCCAAGGCAAGGGAAGCTCTGTGGTGCAAATGAAATAAAAAAGCTGTTGAGAAATTGCCCCAGTAATGCTCAGTGATGAAGAGAGTGTGAGACCACCAAAGAGGAAAACAATTCTCCTTTTTAATTTTCTTTCTTTTTTCAATCAACAATACTACCTGTTGAACTGTCAACTGACTAATGACCTTGGGGAAAATCAGTGTTAACGTAATGAAGTTTTGCTTATTCCTCTCCAGTTGTCTTCTAGAATATATCCTCCCTTGCTAATAGAAGAAAAAAATTAAACAACAAAACCCGAAGCTGTTAATTATGCCTCATTAGGAGGAAAATAATGCAGAGGAAAAATTCCTTCCCAATTACCACTGGATGAAAAATCTACGAAAGTGCATATTAATGACATCCCTGGTTAGAACTGCCCAGCTTCAGAAGGGGGATGGAAAAATGAACCCTCTCTGCCCTTCCCTCCTCGCTGGCTCCTGTTCCTGCCTCCTTTGCTGTCCTTCTTCCAGATGAGAAAGTGGACACGCTCCGTCCCACCAAACCTTATAATGTTTGGATCTACTCCTGCGTGCTGAGAGACAAATGCTGGATACTACATAGACTAAGGATATTGAACCACGATGACTTCCAGCAATTTACAGCAGGTAGGTAAAGGCAATCTCCCTTTTGCATGGAATCGGAATAAGTGAAATGTGAGTACATAAAGTGCTTGGTTGTTTTATACCCTGGTTGTAGGTAGCTTTCTTTAGCAAAGGGATCTGGGCCTTAAATTTGAGGAATACAGACGTGCTCAGGTGCCTAACCTCTTGAGCTATTAGTGCTCAGAGCCCTGCCGTAAGTTAGCTATGCTATTAAATGAAATAGTTCACACATAAAATAAAAGCAGATTGTTAACATTTTACCTGCATGAAAAACAGATGCTAACACCCTCTTTTTTCTTAAGTTTATCCATGCTCTGGAGCTCATTGATGAAAGAACAACTGACTAAAATTTACTAGCCTATATTATTTGCTGGAAATGGGCATCAGACCATAGGTATTACTGCCCTCTGTTCAGTATGGTCACGCCTTTGAGCAAACGTACAGGAGAGAAATGTCATTAGTTAGGTTGTCTCATTCTATATTCATGGCTAAATTTATTTCCAAGACACATAGTAAACTGTTACTTTTTCCTGTTAAGACTTTCTGTATGCTCTTTCTTGGCTAAGAGGAAACTACTTCTCTTACAGGGTGAGCCGGCCCGTGTTTTGATGACCGGTTATGCTATAAACCATGCTGCGAGGCATCCTCTGCCAGAAGAGTTTTCTGCTTCCGAGATCAGATGCTCTTCAGAAAGCAGCTGCGTTGAAAAGACTTCTGGCCCAGGCCATGATCATTTCTAACCTCTTGTCAAGGCAATAGCATCATTGAACTAACTGTATAAAATGTTGAGGACTATGTCGGAGAAGGGAAGTTTTTACAAAGAGGACAACAGCACAGCATGTCATGGTTCACTTGGTTTAAGAGAGGCTTCAATAGGAGTGACGACAAACTTCCTAACAACCACAGATATGGAATGTATTATCCAAGAAGACTGTGGAATCCTGATCCGAAGGAATTTTTAAGAACAAATTGTTAGTCAAGCATCTATAAGGGGTGGTCCCAGCATGCTGGTCCTGCCACAGAATTGACCAAAGGTCAAAAAAGCCCTCATGATTCCACTGGCTGTTATTGGCTTTAACACACTCAGCTATTATTAAAACACTACATAATATGATAGAAAGCTGGAAGATATATCTATGACTGCCTTCTTACATAGCTGAACAAAAGAAACAAATACAATGGCTTCATGTGAAAATCATATTACATACGAAATACATTAACTGTAGTCACCACAAACAGTATATATTAAATGACTATGTCTCCTGTCTTAATCATATGTTCAGTGTTTTCCTAAAGATATAAACACAACCACGTGTAGCTCTTTCCTCTGTCAAACCACTTCCAAATATCTGCTATGGTTCAAAAATCAAGAGAACCTATTTTATTTTCAAAAAATTGTGAAATATAACTCAGGCTGTGCTTTCGAAAGAGAATGTTTGTAATGCAGGTTGTCTTCCTCACATTTGATCAGCAACCGTTTGGCTTAGCAACTCAGTTCAACCTCAGGTTTTCTTCTCTAAAATTTTAAACGGTTATCTGTGACATGAACTAAGAGCTGTACCTTTACTTCAAGAAGTTTTCCCAAAGTCACTTGCCAGCAAGATGCCCAGTCAAGTGTGTCCGTAGCCTGAGTTCCTCATGTTAGAGTAACAAGGGTTCCACTACCATTTCTCTAAAATAATTCCTATGTTTCAAAAGAAAAGTAATGCTGAAATCCTGTAAGGTGAAGTGGACACGCATGCACATACACATTATCCACTTACTCAGGCAGTTCAGCATTATACGCTAACCATTACGCTTTGTAATAAGGGATTTCTTGCTCTTTATATTTATGCAATGCTCTCTTACGTTTCAAGGAGCAGGGTGTGCCTGGTTGCCAGTTCTCCTTTCTCATCATCAGAAAGATCTGATATTCTTGTTTTTTCCTGAAGCTTCTGTTGCTTTAAGTAGGAAAAAAAAAATAATAGCAGCCCTAAAAGCTACAGCAGCGCCTTTCACTTTTGAATGACTTCCTTCTTCAAATTCAGCTACGTGATTTGTTACAATGTAGACTGGAAAAAAAAATCCATACAATATGCTCCTTGCATCTCCATAGGAATAGTGTTGACTTCAAGAATGAAAAGGCTGCTTTCCTTAGCAAGCACAAAGCCAACCATTTTGTTACTTCTTTTATTAGTATGTAAATGTTTTATCGAGCTACTTTTATCATCTTCTTCCACTCATCCTGTGTGGCATTATTCTTTGCGACTATAATGTGATCAGTTTTTTTAAAAAGTCTGTTTAACTGTGACTAGGCAAGTTCATTGCCTGGTAAAACTTGAGTTCTTACACGACTCAGCAGTAGAAAAAACCCCCAGAGTATTAAGCAATGAACACATGCTTAAAAGGAAGAGAATGGTTTCTTTAGTTTCTAGAAGTAATTTTTCAAGTGTTTCTACAACAGGACAGAAAAATGGTTTTAAAGGGTTCCAAGCTGGTGTATCAATGATTCCTAGATCTAGTTTCTTCTCCACAGCAAGAGCCTAAAGAGATACGGCCTCTAATTAGCTTTCTCCTCATGCTTCCACTCTCTCCATGTGCCCCAGGTTGGACACAAGATTTGAATATAAGCTTCACGCCTCTAATAATGAAATAATTAAGATTTCTCAGAACTACAACAGTAAATTTGCATTTTTTTCTTGCAGTAGAGAATCATTTAAGAATATATGAAACCTTTTTCATGTTTTTTTACAGGACAAAATTATGCTAAGTCTGTCTCAATATGCAATACACTTGATTTACTGTGGCAGCAAATATTAGGAGGACATTTTCCTCACAAACTGTCTAACTTCCTTTCACCAACTTAACAGTTTAGTCCTGTACCTTTTAAACGAAACTCACAATGTAAGAAACCCTTCAGAATTGTTGCTTCAATGAAGAACTGAAAATGCAGTGTTGTAATTAAATATTTTATTGCATTTGTTGACATACGTATGTGCAAAAAAGACATGAACAAAAAAAATTTACACATCCTTATCAAAAGCATTGGTGAGTGCCAAGAATATACAGACTAAATAAAATACATAATTTATGCTGCATTGATTTAGGCCCACGTTCTGACCCCCTGATGTTCAGGATATTCTCTTCAAATGCACAGTTCGACCGACTTGCATGTCAGTACCTATGGAGTAAAATGACTCTTCCTGAGTAGCACCACAACAATAGTAATGGTGCCAGCTCAATACCCTCCTTTCTCCCACTTCAAGTATGGATTTTGAGTTGTTTGAGAAGTCCTCAAGCAAGTGTAATACTGATGTCATTAGGACAGCATTGAATATCCAAATATCTTCTAGTTTAGAAGATCAGTATTTCTCACTCTTCCATGTTATCACAGACAGGTGCTTCAACTAAAAAGGCTTTCAGTTTCTGAGAAGTGTTCTGTATCTATTTAGCTTCTATTTGTGTGAAAAGGCCTGTCTAGCACAAAAGCATTTCCTACTAGGATAGGAAAACTTGGAAGTTGAAATTATTTCACTGTTTTGTTACATTAATATAAATAGTAAGAAATGGTGGGGGTTTGGTTTTTTTTACATATAAAATTAGCGTGCAAAAGACCAAAAGAGAGAAGTTTAATTGTGACTGGTGCAGGAAGATGGCAATGCACATCTCCTGATGAAAACTCTCAAATACAAAATATTTGAAATGTTTAAATATATTTATTACAATACATACAAACAGGAGCAGTTAAAATAAAAGTCACTACTTTTGAAAAAATGACCTGCATTAATTCAAAGGATAGCAATAGATCACAGTGTATCAGGAAGCCACCTAGTAATAGTTGGAGAACCTCCTGAAGTGGGAGCTAAAATCACTCCCAAGAACTTATGAATACGTGCTTCACTGACAATGCTCAGTGGTTTCTACAGCTGCAAATATTTTCTTTTTCCTCCTTGCATTCCAAACCTACCGTGGCCAGACTCCCCTTGGAGGAAAAAAGATTATTTTTAAGCTTGAAAAAATGATTGAAATGACGTTAAAATGTTGCCTTCTTCAGGTATACTGAAGAAACATGCCTGTTTGCTTTCGCACACAGAAATTTCCTAGCAATGGGAGAAAAACCTTAACTTTTGTACATCAGTGAAATTGAATGTTAATAAATTTAATCCTTCACATTATTTAAAATATATAAAAATATTAAATCAATGCTTATAAAAAAAAGTCTATTGACAGGGGAAGCCTTCCACTAAACTGCAAGCGTGTATGTGCCAGCACAAAAGACTCTAAACTGTTGTATTTTTATGGGTGCTTCTATAGAAGGCTACCGCATGCATGTCTTCTACTGGCTGATGTGTTACTTGGCAGAAAAATATATTAGAAGCTTAAAGGCTTAGCAGTTGTGAAATTAAGAGTATCAGACAGTGGCTCAATTTAAAAAAGAGTCAGTGAGATGCGACAATGTTGCAGTGCTTCTAGCAAGGCTGTGGGCTTTAAAATGGAGTAAATCAATCATTTACACACAAACAGAGCAAAAGGTACTTATAATTTAATGTGCGGTTTACTCTCGTTAAGGCCAGGGAAAGATGGAAATCAGGTTGAAATTGTAACTAGTTCTGTGTCTTCTGCTAAATTGCTAGCAGGTTCAATATTTTGTCAAAGGAACAGAGCAAAATCTGCTCCAGCATTTGCATCAAGCAAGCTCCAAACTAGTTAAAATTCAAAACTTCTGATTCTGTGCTGTATTGTGTCACCACAGGCAGTATGTCTGCACCGCCTGCAGTCTCACTTTGACAAATAAGAATAAAGTTACTTCTCTGGAATTTCTCATTTTCCCTGGGCCAAGCTAGCAGCCCATCATTCATTCTTCTTTAGTGCCCATCTGAAACAAGTATCATTGCACAGAGAGCTTCCTAACACTTGCACCTCTAGTTACAGCAACAGAATACATCTCAAATAAAAACAAATACAAAACAGTTTTACCATCATTTCTAGTAGCCCATAAATAGAAGTACCTTCAGTACCACCACACAACAACCCCTCAAAGTTCTAGGGGTTGTCATTAAAGAAAAATCGCTGGAAAGATTTTGAAGACATTCAAGTTGGTCCACGATAGCTTCAGTAGGATAATCACCTTCTGCAACATGATAAGCAGCAGCAGAGGATTGTTCTGAGAGGGTGTTTTCTTCTGTATTCTAAAGCTTTTTTAACTTGTTCTTTGGCTTCTCCTACATAGTCTTCAACATTTTGCATATTTAGCTCAATGATGTTGAAGGTGTCTGCCTGTTCCTCCACTAGCAGAGCCACCTGCAGAAAGAGCTCGTGAACTTCCTTGATGCGACTTTCTAACTTCACCAGCTCTTTATGACGCGTCTCTATCTCATTCAAGGCTGAGCGAGCCCCCTTAACATCCGACAGGAGATTCTCAGAGAAGACATCCCACTTGCCTTGCTCGATCATCTCCTCAATCTGGTTGCCAGAAACATCTTTGCCCATAATCTCTAGCTGCCGCTGAATCCGAATCTTGCAGTTCTCCCGTTGGTTCATCTCTGCCGCGTTGTACTCAAACATGGCTTCCTGAAAGGTGTGCATGAGGTCAACATAATGGTTCTTTGCTACCCTGGCAATGACAGACGTGGCACCATATTTTGTTACTGCATCTTCACTGAAATCTCTCATTATTTGGAGTTTCCTATGGATGCCTTCTCCACGGGCCTTGATGTCTCTGGCAATACTATTAGTGTCTCGTTTGATGCTACTAAGACGACGCATGGAAGTAAGGAAGCGGCTGTTTTGTTTTCGGAGCCTCTTGACATCTTCTTTTAGGTGGCTATTTTCTGTTCGGATGCTCTGTATGTCTTTATGAAGAGTTGCCAAGGCATAATCAGTCTCATAAAGGAGAGTGTCATGGGGTGAATTTTCATCATTCTCACTGTCAGGAAACTCTTCATTATGTAACCTGGCAAATTCATACAGCTCGTTTAGCCGGTCTTTCATCCTGCCTGTAAACAGAGGAATGAGAAAAGGAGGAAAAAAGTGAATAAAACATTGGTTTACAGGAGTTGAAAGTTCACAGCTAATCCTACATGAAAGAAATGGAGAATATCAGATTTTAAATTTGTTCACAGTATTTCATATAGTGATGACTCTCTGATGCAAAACTGTGGTGCTAGAGTACCCTTCTAGAAACTACAAAGCTTAGGAACTTAAAAAATGCAAGACAGAAGACAAGCAATCCTGGAGACAAATCCAAAAGAGTAGTAAGACAATCTACAACCCCTAAAAATTCCAGTTTTTCACTTAGAGAAAAAAAAAAATACTTGTGAGCAAATTGATAGGAAGCATTCAGTTATCATTATGCGTAGCCAGCCCTTCCTTATGTCAACTACCACAAATGATTACAGGTCCTTTCATACTATGCTTGCTTTTCCTGGAAGAAGGGTAGAAGTCTCTCAGGAACAGAAATACCATTTACCAGTATAGTTTGGAAAGAAAAGTGTGGAAAGGTGTAGAAAGCAACCAGATAGTATTTTAGAAAAACAAACAAACAAGTTTAGGGTCCCCAGATGCTATCATTGATCACGGTGCACTAGGCATCAAGCAAAACAACACAGTAGTAACAGCATTTTTGTAAGTAAAACCATCCAACCAACCCCTTCTTCATTTTTGTACCATGGAAACACCCCACTGAAGAAATAAAGTACCACAGTTGTTATAGATTAAGATCTGTTTTCTGCATTTGCCTCAGACATCCTGGATTACAGATTTCACTACAACAGCAACAGAATGAGTAATTTGTACAGACCAGTTACATGGTAATGAAACATAAATCTCCTTCAAGCATGCTGTTTACTTGAAACTCTAGACTTAAAAACTTGGTAGAAAGTGAAATCTGAAAACTTCAGCAAGAATCTTGTATTAACTGTTACAGCAAGCAGGAAGCTAAAAATTTCCCATCACAAACCCGTACATCCCATGACATCATTTAAATTATTAAGAAAGAGAACTAAATTAAGAAGCAACATCAAGCATGACACCCCCTAGATCTCTGTATCTGGGAGATTCATTTTTGTTTTTCAAGGATTTAAGTAACCTCACAAGCCTTTACAAACATGCCATCCACTGTGAATGCATCAACTCATAGGATCTCCAGGTTAGGAAAATCCCATGTGAACATACCCAGCATAATATACCTAGATCCAATGTGAATTAAGGATGCAAGTTTATGATCTGCTTCATGGGATGGTTGGATGGATGTATTAAAGAGGTTGTGGAGGAGCCAGAAAAAAAGATTCCATCACACACAGCATCTTGGGCGGACATAGTTAATCGGGCTAGGTATATTGGTTCTGGGAAGTATCCTGATTATGATCGCATTTACACTTGTGCAAAAAGTGAATTTAAACTTTAACCAACACTTTTCCAAGCAACACAAGCCAAGAAAGTTCATTACTCTCCTGAGAGAGGAACATTCATGTAGGAATCTATACCTGTAAAATAGGTCTGTTGGACTCCAAACCATAAGCCACATAGCTGCAACTCAATCATACAGAGAAAGCTTTAGAAAACGAAAAATTTTCCATCTCCTCCCTCAGCATTAATAAAAATCAAGATTTTTTTGATTAATGCTGCAAAAACACCAAGACAAAAATCCCCATCTAAAAAGTAAACAAAAATGTGGGGGTGAGTGCTAAAGACAGGTTTACTGGACTTTAAAGCTGCACAGCCAAGTTGACTTAGAGACACTGCTGCAAGAACATCTGCATTTCATGTCTGGAATACTTAATGGGACATGTTCTAGAAAGCATGGAAGAAAAGCAACAAGCAAAGAGGCATCTAGCAATCACAGGATTATTTCTATCTCTTCTGATCACCAATTGTTTCTCAGATGCTTTTCACCTGAAATATAGATGTGGTTCTGAAAACCTAGCACAGCCCCTAACCTGGCTGCATTCCTGACCCTTAGAGTTTATGATCCTCCCTTGGAAATGCCATGCGTTGTGTTCAGCAGTTCATTCTTTTTATGTTTTGCATCTACATTTGGAAACAACAGCCAATGTTTGTTATGACCAAACCTTAAAATGACAATCCACAGCAGCAAAATGCCATTCATGTAGAACAAAATCATTTCAAAACAGTTTGTGTACAGGCCTGTGTTGCCTCTGTGCTTACCATTCCCAGAACTTGAAGGAAAAGAAATTTCATCAGACCCTCTAAAAAAAACCTCCATGGAGAGCAGTCTGACAACTGGCTTATCAATAATTATGTTTTTTTTTTTTTTATGTGCTTGACAAAGATGGTGCACTGCTCTGGAAAAATGTGTGAGGAATGTTTAGATCTAAGAGGTACTGTATTGCATCTTGTTCTTCCAAACTCCAGGGATTATAGGCATCTAAAACTTCCAACAATTTTAATGCAGAGATGCTCAAGTATGTATAAAACTCATATGGAGAGCTTGGTACAAATGTAATAAATCATTTTTGTTTGTTAATTATTGAAGCAAGAGTTCTACGACAAGAGCGGGGAAAGTTTACATTTAAATAGAAAACCACACTGAGTGAGAACTCCTGCACAATAACCTCAGTTTTGTAGGAAAAGGTCTACACTTCCTTTCCCCCACTCCCAGAAGAGTAACCTTGCAATTTGTCTTCCTCACCCACAATTATTTTAAGAGGTTAGATAAAATAAAGATAAGCAGATATAGAGAAGCAAAAGTATGGTAAATCACAGAATGAAAATACCAGTGCTGTAGTAAGTTAATGTGTCTACTAATTCTAGAACATCCTTGTAAAATTACCTATAATATTTTTTTAATGCAGCATGAAGATTAAAAGGTCAAGTGTTAGAAGACGAGTAAGGAGCAGTCAAGTGTAGTCTCAGATTGCACTGTGATGTTGTGTACACCCACGAAGATGATGTAATTAAGCACTGGCCTACGTACTATCACTTCCACTAAGTCTCTGCCTATGGTCTGTATGCACTGAATATAAGCTGTACAATGTAAAATTTAATATTTGCCATTCAGTTTATGGTCAGATAGCTCATTTACTAAGTTACTACTGTTCGTTTCCTCGGGGCTCTCTCCGATATCTTTGGAATGCTTCATAAACTCTGAATAATCTTGTGGAGAAAGGCAGTGCCAACAGCCCATTTTACAGACAGGGATTTCAGGACAGAATGACTGAGGATAAAACCATTTCTCTCGATGAGTTATGATGCCAGTTTAAGACACCTGCAGCATAGTTCTTTGTACCTCGTAAGTTCAGAAGTCAGCTCCCTCTGACTTCAGTCATTGTTGCAAGCCTCAGGCACTTTGCTGAGTAAGATCCCAAAGAAAGAGGCTGGACATCAGCAGATGAACACAAGACTCTAAGGAACTTGTGACAAGTTTGGCTCCAATGATGCAAACAGCATCGCTCAGGAACTCTGTGATCCAACACGATCCAATTCTAAATATGCACAAAGGGATCAATTTAAAGTTGCACAGACAATCGTCGGCCTGGGATTTCCCAGCTTCTGAATGCTTAGCTCTAAAAGCATACATTATTTGAAAATACATACCAAAAATTACATTCAAGGTGATTAGGATCTTTTAACTCTGCCTTGAAGACCTGCATCAGTCAGGGTAATGGCTCTACAGGTAAAGTGACCACCCTTTTGTCTTAACAAATAGATGCCTTCTCTTCAAGCCTCACTTCAGAGCCCTGGACAATCAGTGACTTTTTATAAGCTGCCTCTTCCATTCTCCCCGAGTCTGTCCCTTTCTGCTTCTAAAGAGCATCCCCAAGCCTGCTTCCCATCTTATCCTCACATTTTCAAGTAAGATGCTCTTCCTTATCGACATACAGTGCTTGAATAGAATGGAGAACAGGAAAGAAATGACTTTTTACCTGTATTTCAGGACCGTATCAGGCCACAAAGCACAAATTGCAGAGGAGACCTATTCAGCTTCATACTAGAGCACGTTCAGCTGCTCTCGAGGTTGGCATGTGCAATATTGGGCCAAAGTACGGGACCTGTGACGGAACAGAACATGTTTAGAGTTCAATCTTCTGACAACACCTTTTGCTCAAGGAACACGTTAAACTTATTTTGGGCATTTGCAAACTGCAGCATCCAGAAACTTAGAATTTGGCAAAATTTCGCTAAATTTTCATATAGGAAAAAAAACCAGACTCTAATGCAATACTAGTACAGCAGTCTTCTTCCGTCTCAAATTCCTGTTTCAAGCAAAGGGGAACTAGATCTTCCCAGAAAAAGACAAGGACTTCTGGGCATTCCCAGTGTCTGTGACAGAATCGGTACTATATACCAAAACAAATGAACAAACAACAATGGAAAAGCAGGGGGGACCAGGCAGCTGAAAAAATTCAGCTTAACTGTTCAGTATTTAGAATAGTTTATCTCCTTTGTTAGATGCTGTTGTCAGTCAGGCACGTGTAATTACATTTATTTATATGTTGAAAATGCCACTTGTAATTAAAACAGTAACTTATGAATACATAAGACATCACTATTTGCTAGGAATAGGCTCAGCACTCATTCTTTAAAATCAATGGCAATGCCCTTCCTAATACAGGGCCCCATGCCGCAGTACAAACTGGGGCCCACTGATTGGAAAACAACCTGGCAGAAAAGGACCTGGGGTTGCTAGTGGACACCAAGTTGAACATAAGCCAGCAATGCGCCCTTGGGGCGAAGAAGGCCCACAGCATCCTGGGCTGCATTAGCAGCAGGTCGAGAGAAATGATTCCCTCCCTTCTACCTGACACTTGAGAAACTGCATCTGGAGTGCTGTGTCCACTCTGTGGCTCCCCAGAGCAGGAGAGACGTGGACACACTGGAGTGCATCCAGCAAAGGCCACCGAGCTGGTCAGGGGGTTGGAGCACCTGCAATGTGGGGAGAGGCTGAGAGCTGGCATTGTTCAGCCTGGAAAACAGAAGGCTCAGGGGAGACCTTACTGCTGACTGCAGCTACTTAATGTGAGGGTATAGACTCTTCATGGAGGCACAGTGACAGCATGAGAGGCAATGGATCCAAGTGAGAATAAGAAAAATTCTGACTAAATAGTCGAGGAAAAGAAACAAACACAAACACCTTTTACAAACACTGGAACAGAGGCCCAGAGAAGCTGTGGAATCTGCATCTTTGGACATATTCAAAACTCAGGTGGACACAGCCCTCAGCAACCTGATCTAACAGGATGTGCTTTGAAGGGGCATTGTTGGACCAAATGATTTCCAGAGGTCTCTTCTAGTTATTCTATGATTCCGTGATTCAGCCTTAGGTTAAAAGTTAGATGATTGGAACATAAGAGCTAAACATATTTAACTACTTGCACAGGGTTATTTAAGATGCATCTCCCACATTGCAATTTCAGAGCACCAGCTACTCTGTATTCTGGCATAATAGCCTGGAGAGTATGTATACCTTAACTCTGAGAGGGTGTATTTTGATAGAAAAGGTGTCAGTTTGATTTTCTTCTAAAATACTGTGGATATTTGAACTGGAACATGTACTTCCATATTTGTGTTTTTTAGCAACATAAATCTGTCCTTGTAAAAAATCAAGTTCCTTATGCAATTCATCACTGTGTATACACATGCACACGCACACACACACAGAGACAGAAAACATGGGCTAGGTTATGACAGCAAGGATTACAACTTTGAAGTCAGACAGCCACCAGGTATAGTCAGCTGAGGATATGTTCAGTATTTATTTCTTCATGTTAGCATGCTACTGCTTGGTATTAATCATCACTACAAATAGCTTTCCTCCGACGCATGAGAAGGATGCAGACAATCTTGTTGCAATAAGACTGCAGCCACATGCAACTCTATGTAACATCTGACTTCAGACAGAAAAGGAGCTCCATTTTGAAAGTCAAAAACTTTACATACACATAAAAACCCTTTCCAATAGCCAAGCAACCCTTTCCACATACCAAGAGGAGTCCTGAACTCCTGTAATATAAGATGCCTGACGTAACAAGCCATTTGCAGTAACAGAATTTAGCAGTAAGGACATGTTATGCACATTATTGCATTTATTTCCACTGCACTGATGTTTTGCATCCTGCTGTCTGAGTAGAATTATTTCTATAGAAACAAGCTAGTTGCACACCTACATTTGTTTCAGCATTAACATCTGTATGTCCACATCACTGAGTTTGGGGACAGGGTGAAATAACCCAGGATTTTCAGCACAGTGTCCAGATTTGTAACACAGGCAGCAGGGAAGGTAGCCAGTGTATGTTTCTTCTTACAGCCTTCATTTAAGGCAGTTGCTAGTTAATATCAATTTGTGGATTAAGTCTAGGCTTCTCATTCTTGAATAAGACTTACAAAATGAAATTTACTTCCATTGAAATAGTCTATTTGAGGAGCAACAGATAATTCAAAACCAGACATTTATAACTCATTTCTTTCACCTGCAGTTCCCCTCTCCCTCCAAAGGTAAAAAGCAATACTTGTTCCACTATGAACCCACACGGATCACCTGGGCTAATATCCTCTCTCTGGAGTGACAGGTGCTATTGGTTGCATGACACATGACAGATGTGACACTGAGCAATTAGGAAATAACCTGCTCATAGGCAGAATTACCTCATAGTCAACTGTGTATCATCACATTCCAGTAGTTTTCCGTACTGTTTATGGACCACGCAGTACTGATGGACATTAACTGAGATAGGTTGGCTGAGCCTAGTACATTCCATTACAAGACAAATAATCAAATAATCTGCTGACACTGCACAGAAGTCTGAATCGTTTATAGGAAAAAAGAAGTGTTAAATATAACTAAAGGCTTTCATTTAAGAGATGGAGTCTCAGACACACTCATTATTTTCTAGCATATTTCTGTTTTGGAAATAACTATATTTTGCAGATTGAACCATTTTGCCTGGTATCTATTTTCCAATAATAATTCAGACGATATTGACTTGGAGAACTCACTATTATTTGCAATGTGTTTTCCTCTTGACAAAGGAGGAGGTTCTAATTGACTCTTACAGCGCAATGATCATCATCTTTTCAGACAAATTACCCCCTTCATCATGTCTGTCACTGCTGGAACTGTAGGCTTGAATCCTTCAAATCGCTTCTCTGTTTCTTGCTTCTCATCTACAAGAGCTTTAGGCAACCCCAAAAATCCTAATCTAGTGAATAGGACACCGTGCCTTCTGAAGCTGCTTTAAGAACTGCATATTCTGCTCCAATATTAACATCTGGATTAACAGACAGAGATCAGCACATCAAAATCTTTTTCTAGCCTCACAGAAAAGAGGCTATCATTTTCTCTACAGTTTCCTGTATTTGACAATGTTTAAAAATATACAGAATGTATTCAGGAGTGAAAAGATATCTGTTAACACTGAAGCACCAGTTAAAAAGCTACAGAAATCTAGCAAGAAGTAACAAATGTATCTGAAGAATATTAGACATTATCTCCTTCATATTGTAGTCAAAGCCCGTTTACAGCAGAATACCTCTTTTATACTTTCAATCACACTAGTGGAAAGCATATACAATTGCAAATGTCTCAGGGCAGTTTCTTTCAAAAGCTTAAATGAATTGTCAACTTCTCTTTTCTCTTCTTCAAGAGCATGATTCTATTTAGTTTTTTTCTTACAGAGCAGCCTTTTAAAGGCCATACACATAACTACTCTCAGTCATGTATTTTAGTCCATCAGCTCAGCTAGGATCCCAACGACATGCTTTTTGTACTAGAACAAGTTGTTTACTACAAGCCGATATATTCAGAGAACTAGTGATAGCTCCATTCTTTGGAGACTGTTTATACAGTTGTCTGAATCTCTATGTATCCATTGGTTTCTTTTCTACAAAGAAGGCTAGTTAAAAAGGCCTACAAAAAAAAATAACATGCAAATAGTTTGTTGCCTCTAACTTCTCGTAATAAGGCAATAATTTCTTGAATATTGACTGCTTTTGCGATTTCCTTTTGACTTGTCCAAGTTTTCTTTAACAGTGTTGGATCTCTTCAACACAAAGCAACTCTCAATTGCTGCACCATAGCATATTATATATTTCAGAATCTAGTATGCATCTCATAATTTCCAGACTTACTGCAGAAGGTTAGCTATCCTGGTACTTTCCATAGACTGGTTATCAGTTTTTCCAGATACCAGTAACAAAACTAGGAGAAGCTGCTGGCATACATTAAATGCACAAAGGAAAGCCATCTCATTATCCACATATTCATTTAAGAGACAGGCAAAACCCCTGAAGTTTTAAGCTTCTTGTTACTACACAATAGCACATACTAAGTAGATGCTATTGCCTTGGAAAGCATGGTCTCTTGTATACAGGTGGACTGCTCCTATTTACTGAGTTGTCTAGATTTCCTTGGGCAAGCTGTACATGACCACTGCGAGTTTTCAGTCCTGGATAGTCAGTAATTCTCGGTATCTTCTCTTGCATTTCTCTCATAAGTCATACTGATGAAAAACTGCAACTACATTTGTTTCTCTTTGGTTTGTGGGGGTCAGTACCAGGAAGCCAGAAAGCTTTCTCTGTTTTCTCTGCATGGTCCATTAAAAAGTGTTAATCTTCACACATACTATTTGAATCCCTTCCTGAAATTGCTAACTCTCTTGAACAGCGATCATGCTTTTCTATTCAAGCAGACATTAAGGACAGGAAAGTCTAATGCATATCCCAAATTTACCCACTTCAATTTCCAAAGGGTACTAGACACAGAACATAGTTAGCAACTTTAAGTTTTGAAAACCTGCAAAGAGTTTGCTGAGACCTGCAAACTCATTCTGATCAATTTTAATGTGCACAGCTTTTTAAAAACAGAATGGTATTATAAAGAAGAGATGAACATGCTTGTGATTGTATTTTACCAGAGAGAAAGAAAAAAATCCCACCATAGTTCTCCATTCAGTACTCTGATATCTTATTTAGTGTACTGTGGGTTACCAGTATATCCTTTCTTCCTGTGATTGATAGGCAAAATTAAAATCTTCAGGTAAAAT